GTGAGTCCTTCGGTGGAGCGAAGACTCGTGGCCCCCACGAATGAAAGCGCACGAGGAACTCTGCGAGGTTCCTGGCGGTACATAACCAGGTTGACGACTCACCGCCTGCATGCAGTTGCTTTGGACAAATGCAGATAGGATGGCCGCGCACCCACACTATCGGTGGAACTTGCCAAGGGGACGCTCTGGATGGTGCGAGCACCACTGGGAGGCCAACAAGTAAATTGTCAAATTCTACATCGCCGGTATCTTTAAAAAGGGGCCCATTTCGTGGGCCCCTGTCCTTACGAAGCTCGTGAGGGGCCATCAGGATGCTCTTGCGCGGATCTTCGGTGCCCTTCCATAAGGCACTGGCTGCATGGAGATAGTTCCGCGGGCCAAGTTGCAAAATGCGCAGCCATTCGTGGGGCTGGCCATTTGACAGTGAGGCCCCACTGGCAAACGTGCAGGCCCAGCCAAGGCGGGGGGGCCGCTTGCGCATTTGACAGTGGAGCCTCGTTGTCAAATTCTTGTTTTGGGGCCAGGTCTGGGCTAGCAGAGAAGTCCACTTATTGATTTGACAGCGGGGGCCCACTGTCACATGGTCAATCGGGGGGGCAGGCCGAGGCGTGGGAATTGAGTTCCGATCGCTCATTGGTTTGTCAAATTGGCAATCGGGGGGGGGGGGGGGCGAGTCGCAGCAATTGAACTCCTCATTGCCCGCTCGACAGTGGAGTGCCACAGTCAAATGGGCAAGCGGGGGGATAGGCCGAGGCGGGAGAGTTGAGCTCCGATCGCCCACTTGACAGTAGGAATCCCATTGTCAAACGGATTATCGGGGCACACGATTGCCCATTTGATAATGGGATCCCCGTTGTCAAGCAGGGAATCTGAAGAGAAGTGTTGCCGATTGCCCGTTTGACGGTGGGTGTCCCGTTGCCACACGGGCAAAGCTCACTCATTTTTTTCTGCGGCAATGCTGGTCTCCCTTTTTGCCGGGGGGATTACGGGGGGAAACATCTCACACGCCTTGAAGACCCCGACGGAGTCGGCAGACTCCGCTATTGCCCCCAGGGCCCGTTGCTATCCCGCACAAGGCCCCGAACGCCCACGTGACAAGGGCAACCTATGTTCGGAACACTTCTCCCATGATCAATTGGGGTTTATGGATACCTGTAACGGCTACTGACATCGACTGTTGAATCGACTAGAACCTGAGCGTGCGTGGTTCTAATGTACATATGCCATACACAAACACTTACATACGTACAACTATATAAAATACGTGTGAGTATATGTATGTTTGTGCTGGTGTGCAGCCTTACTAGAAAAGTCCGCATGGCAGCGCCACGCCCGTGCTGGCAAACCTTTCACTTACCGTCCCAGTTGGAGGGTCTCCCTGGCGGCACCGCGCTTAGTTCGGCACACCATTTACACAGGGAAGCGTCCCTGAATGCGGCCCCGAGCCCATGCTGGCGTACCCCTCACTTGGATCGCGCATTGTAGGGAGCCCAGCTCGCCCCTTGGCGCCTGGCCCACCGCCCCCCATCCGCATTGCCCCAGGCTCCATTCCTTTCATGCCCCGCTGCCCATGAGGAGAGCGTCATATCCTGCGCTACTCGCAGCTGCACACAGTTGGTTCCTTTTGCCAGGTTGTACCTTCAGTTTCAAATGCCGCAACAGTTGTAGTGCTGTCTAGTCTTCCAGCCCCCGGTCCTTGCAGTGCGGCTTGCCTGCTTTGCCGAGCCTGCTACGATTCGGTCTTACCATCAGGCACCATACTGATTGCAACGCCGCCCTCTTTATGACTTGCACCGTTTCCGATGACTACACTACGCAATCATGCTTCGTCAATGTTTGAATGCTCGTGGCTGTCATGAGGTGTTCTTGTACGCTTTGGCTCTTGCACAGGTGCTGCTCGGAGTTCTTCCCTGCGTATTCAGCCCCAGGCCGGAGCCCAGCAAGGATTGCATGCCTGGCTCTTCGGGTTTCGTTGCAGGCAGTATTGGGCAATCGATTCGCCAGCTCGTCAACAGGATTGACCACCGTAACAGTCGACGCTGTGTTTGTTTTCCAGCGTGGCGGTGTTTGGGGACGGGCGGCATGACACCTGGTTTTGGGGTCTCGTCATGAGTCGCCCATCTAGGCCTTGGTCCTGGACGTAGTAATGTTGTGGGGGTATGGGCTAGTATGAGTTTACCAGTGTAGATGCGTATGTGTACATTGCATTGCTCTGATGTGTGCCATTACAGTGTCTTGCATCGTTCTGTGATGTGGGCCAGGAGTGGCTCGTCTGTGGCATATAGTGGCTTTGGTCTGCCGCTGCCAATTCTGTCGCAGACATTCGGGTCACGTTGTACGGCCAGGCACCCCATATCTAGTATCCCGTTGATTTCCGTGTTTAGATTGAATTGGTTGTTGATCTGAGCGAGTATGTCACGTTTTCTGCTGTCGCGCGACCCTTCGGTTATAAATCGGGTAGGAGCCTGGCCAGTGTTTGCAGTGCTTCTTCTTCGAGCCGCGCTACAAGGAACCAGGCAAACGTAAGACTCGGGGTTGTCGCGATCCAGCCCGTCCAACCTATACCTCAGAGGCCAGCCGACGAAACATTGCACGTTACCAGGGCGAGGATGTCCAGTTTTTGGCAGGGGGGCGAAGTCCGAGTCTTAGGTTCGCCATCAGAAGATGTGGGAGTTCGCGAAGGCTCGCGTGCTCTATGCCTCTCCCTGGTCTCGCGCTCGCTCCGTGCCGCCAGTGCCGCCTCGCCCAGGGCCCGCGCACTGCTTCCAGCCACCAGCTCGCTCGGCCAGGGCAGCCCCCGCGCAATGATCGCACGGTCTTCCCTCTCGGGTACTATAGGGCCTCTTGGCGTCGCTCGGACGTGTGCATTTTTTCTCGGCGAGGACCATCGAGGAACATCTTTGATCATTTAGCGGGACATACACGCACGAAGTCGAAACATGCACGGGGAATGGACGTCCGAGCGATGGCGGGTCCTTGCTTGGGTGAGTACCGGAATGGTGAAAGCAACGAACGCGCCGCGTCAATATTGGGAGAGACGTTGCGGGCCACTGGCCGAACAACTGGGCCAAGGAACGATGCCGAGAAAGATAGCACTAAGCTGCGAGCGCAGAGGCTCAGGATTTGAGGTTAGCGCCACGGGAGGTCCCACCCTTCAAAAGGTGGCGCGTGGAACATGTGTACGCCCATGACAGTGGCAACTCAACTAGGAATGAATCCATCCCGTGTGAATATGGATACCCACCCATTCGAACCCACGCAGCATGACACGTCCTGGGGGATCTCTTTGGATCACCACAGGGGCCAAGTGCTTGCGCGAAGCCGCAATGCATGACGATGGGGGGGGTGGGGGCACCTGATCGAGCACGTTTGGAGTCTTGGCCGCGTCCTTCGGACACCATGGATGAGCATTCCGAAATAGACCAAAAAGAAGCCTGAATTCAGGTCTGCGGCGCGCATCGTTACATGAGTATGCGAGTAAGAGGAACCCGAACCGCGATCACCCAACAACTCATCATGTAGGAATGCCATGCTATGGCGTGCCAAGTTTCAGTATTGCACTTCCCCCATGGCTCTAGGACAGACCTTGCTCGTTTTTACCCAGGCCTGATGAGGAGCAGTATGTGCCACAGTGCCGCGCTTAATGTTTGCACGAATCACCCCAGCCAGCCTGAAGAAAGTCTGGTTGGACCCAACAGTAGCAATGCGAGCCTGCTTGCAGGATACATGAGAACATGCAGATGGGACATCGTCAACGAATCGGCGGGTAAATCCACAAGGAGCTCTGCAGACATTGTCAGGACATGATCGTGCCATGTCGGATTCCCATTGCACGTTTATAGAGACACTCCAAGCATTAAGCACATGTGTGGGAGTCCTGGGAGGCACCCCGCAGGAATGCCACAGGAATGTGAAGCGTGTACGCCTCGGGGTGATATCATACTATGAAATGAAATTGCCTTCGGCGCATCATGCCACCGTGTCTGGATTATGGGTATGAAGCCTACTGGATTTTCATTGGGATCTCGTGGGAGGCATCTTAGAGGCAGTTTCCTCTTGGTCGCTGTTTTGGGTCTCGTTGGGGCCTCTTGGGGCCTCTTGGGGCATCTTGGGCGCCTCTTGCGTTACACCCACAAGGGGGGGGTCCCTGTAACGCTGCTGCCGTTCCCTGGATGAGCTTGAGCAGTTTGATAACCTCGGCATCTGTAGGAGATATTACTAAGGCTGTTCGCCTTGCTGGACGGTCAGGAACAAATCCCGAGCTAGACTGGGGTTCCGTATCGCCACCAGCTAGATTGTCAGGACCAAATCCCGAGCTGGACTTGGGTTCACAGTCGCCACGAGCTGGACGGTCAGGAACAAATTCTAGACGCTTCGCGTATCCCAACCAGCCCGTCCAGAAACGACGCCCAGGCGAGTAGAGGGTCGTCCTGAGGGGCTTTTCGGCGTCTTGGGTGCCTCGGGGGGGCCTCTGTGGGCCGTTCGGGATCCTCTTTGGGGCCTCCTGGGGGCCTCTTGGATCCTCTTGGGGCCATCTTGGGGCCTTTGCGGGCCTCCTGGGCGCTTCTTGGGGCCATCTTTGCCCCCTCAGAAGGCCAAAATGGGGCCCAAACCATAGTAAAAAGGCATCTGGGAGGACCTTGGGTGCCTCTGGGGGGTCTCTTGGGGCCTCTTGGGGGTCTCTTGGGGGCCTCCTGGGGGCCTCTTGGGGGCCTCTTGGGGCCATCTTGGGGCCATCCTGCGGCCTCTTGGGGCATCCTGGGGGCCTCTTGCGGCCATCGTGGAGGAAATCGAGCAAAGAAGAGGGGAGCTCTAATTAGCGCTGCCCCCTCAGAAGGCCAAAATGGGGCCAAAACCATAGTACAATCAATGATTTTGGCTTCCTCGCCGAGGCCGGTTTGGACGCTCTGACCGCTCCCCGCCCCTCCTGTCCAGGTCAGCGGGGAGGGGGTAGGGGGAGGGGTAAACCCCTCCCCGAAGGGGAAGAGGGAGGGGTGGAAGAGGAAACGCCCTAAACCACCGACGCCCAGAGGGCTGGTGGGATTCCGAGCAAGGCTTGGGTTCTGCGTCGCCACATGCTAGATGGTCAGGACCAAGGCTGTGGGACGACATGGCAGACATGCGAATGAAGGCGTGGAGTCGGCAACAACAGGAAGTTGGTATGCAGCCATCATGGGCACGCGTACGAGGGCCAACAGGAGCACTCATCATGTCGATGAAGAGGGCGAACTGGACGTGTCCAGCTTGGCACACCATGCGCATCAAGGAGGGGTACGACCTAGACTATCGGGAGATCTGCCCGATTGGCGTTGCGGCCATGCTGCAGCGGGACGTGCAGGCCAAGCCGTGCGAGGATTGGACCCAGGACGAGCGCCAGTCTCAGGCCGGCACCGTTTGTGACATCAGCGACCGCGCAGATGAAGACGAAGGGTATCCCCAAGCATGCGACGAACGCGGCCAAGAAAGGTGTTCATCGGGGGAGGTTCGGCGATAAGCAAGATATGCGAGTGCAACATCATGCCCACCGATATTTGTCTGGGCTGCGGGCTGGCGGTGGGCACACCTCACCACAGGCTCTACAAGTGCGAGACGCTGAAGGAGCAGCGGCTGCAGTCGCAGCCTGAGTGGCAAGACGTGGCGGAGCAGCAGGAGGGCAACTTGCTGTGGACGCGGGGGCTCGTCAGGAACCCAGAGGCTGACTAGAAGTCCGTTGGCATCGGCGAGGACATGTACCAGTGCGCGAGCATGGGCCCTATTGTCTGCGACGAGTGCCTGACCATCGGCGACGAGAACCTGTTCACGGGAGACATTGTGTGCGACGTGCCCACGCTGGACTGCAGCGAATGGGCGCAGACGGGTTGGGTGGCCATGTCTCTTACGTCTGAGGACCAGCCCAAGATGCAGATGTTGGGCCCGCAACCGTGCACCGTACCCATGCATCGGAAGGTCAAGCGGGCGGAGATGTGGGCTTTCCTCAAGGTCTTACAGAATGCTCTCCCGCCTTTCGACGCCCACACGGACCGCAGGGGCATCATCGAGGGCCTGCAGAAGGGCGAGATGTGGTGCACCAGCTGGAAGAGACCCCACGCCGATCTGTGGAAGAGGATCTGGCACAAGGTCAGGGACCTGGACCTCGACGTCAGCAGGGTCCACCGCGTGACGGCGCACAGGGCGAAGTCGAAGATCGCGCAGCTCCAGAGGACCGAGCTCAAGACCGCGAAGGGCAACGAGGCCGTCGATGAGCTGGCCAAGGCATAAGCAGCAATGGGCGCTACCTTCGGCAAGCAGCAGGCTGTGGAGCACTTGGCGTCGAAGGTGCGCTGGGCGGCGATGAACATCGGGTGGCGGTACAACAACATGCCAGTAGAGTGGCCCGACGTACCCGAGCGGGTGCCAGGAGCGCGGAGGGAGAAGCTGGTGAATCAGACCGTGGCGCTAACCAAGCACGAGGTGGAGTAAAAGGGCAAGTGGATGGTGTGCATGCGCTGTGGGAAGCGGGCGGCTTCGAAGCGCATGCGCAAGAAGTTGCGGGAGGCTGGCTGCAAGCCACCGCTGTGGATGTCAATGGGGGCCAGGCGTGCGGGAGCCTCTGGGTCGCTTGAGACGTGCGTGGCCATGTCAACGGCGGCAGCAGCTTTGCAGGAACACGGCGAGACGAGGAACGTGACGACCGAGAGCAGTGCGAACGTCGAGTGGAGGTGCACGGGCCATGCGCGCTGTGCGTGGTGGGCGGGGCTCATGCGGCGACGCGAAGAGCGGGGCTTGGCAGCCTGCCCTGGGCCTCCAGAGCGGAAAGGGCGCTCGTTCAAAGATGGCGCCAAGAGGAAGAAGCGTGACAGGGTCGTGGCGGGAAAGCACCCGCAGACGGGCAAGCCGCTGCTACGGGATCTGGTCCTGCCTGCCCAGCGTGGCTGAGTTCGACTGTGGTTTCGGGACGCAGGACATCGGATTCGGCGCCTCGCTGCAAATCGACGGCCAATTCGGGGCCAAGGTGTCGCTGGACTGGGTGCACGGGGTCGGCGGCTACGAGCAGCTGTCGTGCGCAGTCGAGGCCTGAGTCAGGCCTGTCGGCGGGATCTGTCGGGGGCTCTGAGGGGGAGGAGGAAAAAGCATCTTGGGCGCCTTTTAGGGGCTTCTTGGGGCCTCTTGGCGTCTACTGGGCGCTCGGATTGTCGCGTCATGTTCCCTTCTTGGGGCCCATTTTGGGCCCGTCTGAGGGCCCTCTTGGGCCGTCTTTGGCGCCTCTTGGGCTGTCTCAGGGCACTCTTAGGCCCTCTTGGGGCAATCTTGGAAGTCTCTTTGGCCGTCTTGGGGTGGTGTTGGGGGCCTCTTGGGCCGCCTTGGAGCGTCGGATAGCAGAAAAGGCGAGAACGCCCAAATCTATCAAATTTCTTAGGGGCATAACAGATTTCTGCCTCTTGGGGACCTGTTGGAAGGCCTCTTGCGGCATCTTGGAGGCCTCTTGGGCCATCTTGAGGCCACCTTGGGCATCTTGGAACAAATAGTTTGGCGACTCGGTGCCCTCTTGGACCCCCTTAGGGGCCTCTCAGGGGCCCTCTTGGTCCTTCTGGAGGCTCTCGTGGGCCCGGAAAAATCATGCGACAAGATGCTCCGGATTCGCGACAAGCGGCGGCAAGCCCCGGGAGAGTGGAGAGCGAGGTGCTTTGGCTCGTACAAAAATCCTCACGAGTGGGGAGTGAGGCTCAGAGGATTGGGACCTGAGGGCTCGTCCACTCCGCGCCCAAGGCCACTATGTCGGATGATTCCGAGAAGCGTATTTATCATCACAAAGAAGTTCGGGAACCGTCAGAAAGGTTGTGGCAGCAGCCGCGTTGATTTTTATCAGCTGACGTGCTAATGTCTACCGTAAACGGAGCTGGGGCGGCGCTGGAGCCAGCTGAGGCGAATCCCGTCTTAAAAATTGCAGGCGAGTTTGTTGCGATGGCTTGAGGTCCCTCGATGACAATCAGGGTCTACCTCAGTCGCTGCAGGACTCCGCACGGACTTCAGCTGTCGCCAGCGAGACGCCAGAATTCCGACATTAGTTTGCGGGAGGAACCACGAGGAGCATCAGCAACAGAAGGAGCAGAGCGAACAATATAAACAGTATGCGAAGAAAGACGAGTATGCAGAGTACGGCAAAGAGAACGGGAAGCAACAGCATGCGAGACACACGTTTGCGAAGCCGGCATCTTGCCGCCCGACACTAGAGCGCAGCTCCTTTGATGCTCCAGCGCTTGCGCCCCGGCGCAGGCGCACACTGGTGGACTTGTCGCCGTGCGTTACGCGCGACCCCCCTACACGAAGAGCCCCGAGGCCGTGAGCTCAGCGCAGTGCGGCGGCGGCGACGGCAGTCGAGGCGCTTCAGAGAGGGCGAGGGCCGCGCCTTCGAGGATCGAAGGAGTGGGCAGTTCCTCTCCTGCGGAAGGCGGCGGCAGGCGGCGGATGTAAAATTCGAGCGCAGCTCCGCCAGTGGAAGGCTAGCAGGAGGCCGGCGGAAGGTGGCGGGAGCAGAAGATGCACCCCCAAGGGACGACAACAATTGTGGGTTCAGGGTTTCTTTGGCGGCGAGCGAGGGGGGGGAGTGAGAAGCAGAAGGCCTTCTCAGGAGGCGCCTGGGCTTCTCAGAAGCCCTCTCGCCTTCTGGGAGGTTTTCTGTGTTTTCGGGGAAGGCTTGAAAACTTCTCAGAAAATTGGGAGACGTCTGAGCCTTCTGAGAAGGCCCGCCCCTTCTGAGCTCCCCCCGGGCTCGCCGCTGATTTCCGGCACCGACCAATTGTGGATCCTGCGGTGGCGGGGCTTCGTCGGCGGGGAGGAGCAGCAGCAAAATTGCCCGCATGCTGCTGGTCAGGGGCGCAGGAGAGAGACAATCACGGCCGCTGGGCTGAGGGAGCCGCCCTCGCGCCCCCCCATGGCCGACACTGGTCCCTCAGCGGGTCCCCTTCAGCGGGGATGACCTGCGCGCGGCGCCCCTTGCCCTGCGGTTGCGGTGGTCTCTTCTCTGCCTGTGGGCCAAGGCGGGGGCCCCCCCTTTCCCCCAGTGGGCGGCGAAGTGCGATCTTGAGTGGTTGCGTAGGCTGCGATCCGCTTGCGGAGAACGGGAGTCGGACGGACGCAGTTTTCATCGACAGTTGGGGGGGGAGACAGTAACCATCAAGCCGTGTGCGGCCTTCTAGCCCCCTCGCCCTCTCTTTCCTTTTCTTCACCTCCTCGACCTTGGCGGCCACCAGAGATGACCATATCAGCGGTGCTCGCAGCCGCAGCAGTGGTCTCAGCAACAGCGCCCATCGACAGCAGTTGCGGGAGCACGAGAGGCAATGACAGCAGAAGCAGCAGCAACAACCGCATCAGTAGCAATTGCGATACCAGTTGAAAAGTAGTACACATCAGTAGCCGTGGCAAGGCCGTCGCAATCATCGACAGCGTCCTCAATAACATCACCATTAGCAGATGCAGTTGCCATCACGAAGTAGCAATCGGACGCGCAGCAGCAACAGCAGCAGCAGCAGCAGCTACATCAGCAGGGGACGCGGTCACAGAGGTAGTCGTAGTGGGGTCAACCGCAGCCAGAGAGGCAGCATCATGATCACGAGGAGGAAGAAGGGAGGAGGAGGACGAGGACGTGTAGGAAGAAAAAGAGGGGAGAGGGGGAGGGGGAGGAAACTGTGGGATAGCGTGTCGCTTCGCTGGTTCTGGCCCACCACGTTTCGGCGCCTCACTTGTCTACTTCCCCGTCCTGAGGCGTCACTTCCCCGAGCTTTTCCCGACCTCCCGACCCGCGGAGCGAAGCGACACGCTATCCATTTGCAAGGCATGGCGTTCCGCCGGGGCCGCCGCCGCGACACACTACCCAAACGTTCCCGATCGTAGGGACCAGCTTGGCTTCAGGTCGGGGAGCCTACAGCCAAGACGCTAGAAGAAGGACCGCGTTGGGTTCTGAAGGGGCTCGTTTCGTAGGTCATTCCGCGTATGGTCCTCGAAAGGTCCGTATGGTCCTCGAAAGGTCCTTACCTAGCGTGCCTCATCTCGGCTGCCGGGCCGTATTCGTAGCCGCGCCTCGCCGGCCAAAGAAGATCCTTCGTTCCCTGTAGTGAAGGCCTTACGGCCTGTGCCGCCGACCCTGGAGATGGCGACGACGAGGACGAGGAGGAGGAGGGGGAGGATGAGAAGGATGAGGAGGCGGAGGACGCGGAGGAGCAACAGGAGGAGGAGAGTGCGGAGGAGGATGAGGAGGGGGAGCAGGGGCAGGGGGGTGGACGGGGGGGGGAGGAATGAGCACCAGGAGGACGAAGAGAATGTGAGTCCGCGCTCCCTGTGGCAGCACGACCGTCGGGTATCGCCTCCCGCCGCTGCTGCCCCCTCCCTCTGCACGGACCCGGGCCCTCTGGCCCTGGCTGCCCCCGGGGCTCTCAGGGGCAACGTCAAGGGGGGGGGGAACAGGCTCCGGGGCTCAGCTGCCTCGGTCCGCCCGTTTTGAAACGCAACACGTACACGTTGCTCATGTCTAAGTATTCGAAAGTTCTTCGCATTCTTTAGAGGGCCAGGATCCTTTGATTTCTCATGATTCCATCCTGGGCCTCTTCCTGGCCACCAGTGGGACAGGAACATTTAGAAACGAGCACAATTAGAAAGGAGCACGATTAGAGATGAACGACTTGTACCGTGCTTGGAACATCGGTGTCATTACGTTGCCTTCTGGCTCAGCGTATTGGCCCACGTTCTGACGAGCGTATCGCGCCATGCCTGCGTTTTCAGTCTACATGTTGAGCTCCGTACCAATACGCTACGTGTTGCGTGTTGCGTTTCGGGGCAGCCAAGCTCCGGGATGCATCGACCCCCCCAATCGCACACCCGTCACCCATGGACCCAGGAGCGCGCAGATTCGCAATCGGAGGCCCATCATCGCCGATCTATCGGCGATGTATCGCCGATTCCAGCTCGATGCTTGTCCCCCCTGGGCCAGTCCCCCTGGTGGGCTGCGGTTCATAACTTGGGCCTCTGGCGGACTCGGGGCGATCCGGCAGCCCCAGACGCCCCACGGCGAGGTGCAGCCGCTGGAAGGCATCACAGGAGCCAGAAAGTCGCCGAGAGCCGACGGTAGCGTCCGAAAGCCTCGCGCCTCGAACATCGTACGGGGCTAAGACGAGGTTGAATCTGTTCGAGGGCGCTCCAGCCCGCTCTGGAGAAGGCCGCGGCGCCCGATACATCCAGCGTGCAGGACGGATTCATCCAAACATTTGTTCTTTCGTTGGGTCGCGCGGACCGCTACCAGCAAACCGTTTCCCATTGCACGGGGAATGCTTCGCCCGGAAGGCCGCCGCGACCCAAAGCTGCCGCGCATGGGCTACGGCGCGTCGCCGACGACCCAGAAAACCAAGCCCGACGCTGCTTCCTGGCAGTACCCCTCGTTCCTTCCCCCCCGGGCTCGCCTGGAGGGCCTCGAGGAGGCCCCAAAGAGCCTCCAAAAAACTCCCCCCAGCTCTTGGCTCCTCAGGGGGTGCCAAGGGCAGAAACTGGAGGGTGTTTTTGGGACCCGGGGAGTGGGCCTTGGAGCTCCTGTGTCGACCCGCTTACAAGGCGTCGAGGAGGTGTTGCCGCGCAAGACGTCGCCGAGAGGGCCCGCGAAAACCCTAAGACGGTTCCAGGATGGCCTGAAACACAATGTTGTTTTGAACTGAATATTTGGGGCTTTGTTGAAGCTCTTCCTCGTTCCACCTCCTGCTCCCTCCTCCTCTCTGCCCAGGGCCCTCCGAGGATCGTTTCACCACTCTTCGCCCTCGTGCTTCACGATTGGCTCACCGGCGCCCTTCTTTCGACCAACTTCCCTGGGTATCGCTTCCTGCCTAATCCGTGTGTTTCCACGTGCGCCTGCTCGCCTTCACCCCTTCTCCTCCTCCTCCTCCTCCTCCTCCTCCTCCTCCTCCAGTTTCTGCCTGAGGTCCTGGGGGCGGACAGGCCGCCGCGGGCTCCCCTCGGGCGAGGACCATCGCGCTGCCCTCCGAGGCGGCGTGGCATCGGTACCTCCGTCGCGAGCGCGCCGCGGCCAGGGCGCTGCTGCGCGCTTGGCGGGGCTCGCCATCCCCCCGCCAGCGCGGCCGCCTGCTGGCCGCCGCGGCGCTCCTGGAGGGCCACCACGGCTCGGCGGCGCCGGCCCCCGTGCGCCAGGCGGGCGACGGCGGGGGCGGCATGGCGGCCGCGAGCGGCGCCACCAGCGGCCGCGGCGGCCACGCGTGCGCCCACTGTGGGTGCCGAAAGAACGAGGCATGGTTGACATGGTGCACCAGCTGCGCGGGTTGCTGCTCGCGGCGCTGTTGGCCGCCGCCGATCCACCAGCAGGGATCGCAGCGGCGCCCGCGAGCCGCCCTGGCGCCAGGACGCCGTCGGCGAGCGCGGCGTAGCGCCGCGCGGGCGGCCAGCCGCTCTGGTCGCAGAAACGGCAGGCCGCCAGCGCAGCGGCAGACAGGGAGTCCGCATCGTGGACGTGGCCCAGGCCCTGGAGCCCGACACGGACCCTGAGGAGGTCAAGCTGGCCCAGCTGGTGGAGCTCTTCCGCTTGTCGGGAGACGAGCCGGCAGAGGCCAAGTACAGGCAGCAGCTGGACGCCCTCCGCGCCCAGCGCCTGGCCAGGCCCCTCTCCGTGGCCGAGGCGGGCGCTGCCAGGGACGCTGCCGCGCCGGCCCTGGACGAGGCCCTGGCGGAGGCGGAGGAGCTCCAGCTGCGCCTGGGCCAGGCCACGGAGCGCGTGTCCAAGTGCACCGCCGCCCTGGACAGCGCGCAGGCGGTGCACACGAGCGCGGCGGAGGCCTTGGCGGGCACAGTTGCCCCAGCGGCGGCGCCTACGCGCGAGGATGACGTGCCCGAGCTCAGCGTCACGGCGATCCTCGCTGGCAAGGCGGCGCGGGCGTTGGACGACGAAGGGCTTTTCGGCCTGGAGTCCTTGGAGGACTACGAGGTCGAGGAGAGCGACCGCCAGGAGGCCCAGCGGCGCCGCGAAGAGCTGCAGACGCGGTTCGCGGTCATGGCGCAGGAGGCCTTCGGTCAGTTCGGGCACGTCCTCCTACAGGCGGACTTGCACCCCTAAGCTCTGGACTCGGTTAAGATTAAGAGCTACAGGAGTGCCGTGCTGCGCGGGCCAACGGAAATCGGGCCCCCGTTTCGGGCAAAGATGGCCCCACGCTGTTTGGCAAAGCCGGCTCTGGGCAGGCTGTGACGCCCAGAGAGGAGAAGAGGGGAGGGACGAGGAGAAGAAGGAGGAGGAGGAAGGCGAGGAGAAGGAGGACACACGCGACGAGCAGACGCAACCAAAAAGGAGGAGA